AAGGAGTTGCACTTGGTGTTCTGGTCGAAAATCAGACAACAGAAGTTTCACAATCGCATGAAAGTCCACACAAAACTCATCACCACCAACATAAGTTTCACAAGTTGGCCTATTTCTATTAGGAGGTGCATATTCCAGAAACTGACACCTCTGAAACTTCTAACTTATTTGCGAGAAAGTATTTCTCAGTCTATCCTCCACCTGTGACCTACCTCCACACTTGTCACATCACCTACTGTCGGTAAATGGATCATATTTGGGCAGTATGAATTGTTCTATCTAATTGCAGTATTCAGGTTGTCGTTCGGACACTGACAAGGATCTGATTTAGCTCATTAGCGAGGCGCTTGGAGTAGAGGAAGAAAGGGGAGATGGAGAAGGAAGAAAGAGACAACGTTTTATGTATTTCGAGATACCAGTTAATTGACATTATTCACCGACTTCGTGACGGACAGCTGACTTCGTGACGGCACCCAATTTGTATTACTTCGTGTTTTACCAACACCTACCTAAACACGCCCTAATGAGGAAAATCATGATGGAAACGGGACGTGTACAAAGAAGGAAGAAAAGGGAATATATACCGAGGGAATTACACAAATCCCGAATGACGACAACAGCCCGACGGTACGATGAGGAGGTGCATGGCCAAAAAAACTCTAGGGTATAGGACGACACTTATATATCGGACTCATTGAGGATGACAAGGGCTTGGACAGGTGGTGGCCGAGGGTGACGAGGAATTTACGCTACGAGAAATATAAAGCGGGTTTCCGGAAGTTTGGGCTTGGACATGTGGGTGGACTCTGAGGTGGTTCAGTCATTTCAGTGGGACAAGATTTATTGTAAATATATATTAGTTAAATTAATCCAGTCCAGTCTCACTCGTCCCAAAGCTCCAAAAATAGAGCAGAAGGTTGCAATTGGTTACACAGTACTACTTGAGTGATGGACTATCCAGCAAATTGGGCTCCTCTCTGACCAAGGCCACATGAGATGCGCATATCCAGCCATATCTCCCTTCATTGTAACATTAGATTTCAACTTGATGCTATCTACCGCCGCCATGTTATATTGCCAGGTGCGCTCTAGAACCCCACCGGATGGCTTCTCCTCCATTACTAAGAAAATTAAGTGGGTAAGGACTAAGGTTTCGACCGTATCATCTATTCAGATGTTGAAAAGCTTCATGGTAACTATGTGGATCCTAAACGTGACAGGCTACGCTATGTAACATACAGTGCCTCTAGGTTCCAAAAGGTAAAACTTCAAACTGGGTCGTTGAAGGGATTAGCCCTGTAGGCGTAATCGGGCTAGCTCGTAATAGGTTAGTATGTCTCTCATCTTTTCCCCGCTCGCCATGAAGTATGGTCCAATCATCTTCTTCTAATAATCGCTTAGTAAATACATTTTCAACGACATCTTTGGCTACCAAGTCTACTCAGCCACTGAAACTTCTCGCCACTATCAATTCATGCTCTATTCTAGCAAACAATGTCTCTCGAAAAGTCTGCTTCAGAAACTAAAGTTCGCAAGCATCTAACTCGCGATCAATGTATAGAAATAAGAGCATTAAGAAGACTTGGCTTGACACTTCAAAATATATCCGACAAACTTGGCTTCACAATGAGACAATTACAACTTGCGTGTGCTCGAGAGACTGAGAATCCTATGCCTCGCAAAGGACCCTCACCTAAATTAAGGGTGGAACAAGTTGATGAGCTTGAGGCTTTTGTCCGGGAATCTCCTGAAAATCGACAGATGTGCTATTTGGAACTAGCCATGGGGCCCTTCAGCCACTGGAGATGCAGTGAACGTCTAATTTCTAATGCACTCAAAAAAAGAGGTTACAGCAGATGCATTGCTCGGAAGAAGCCTCCGTTAAGCGCGGTGAACAAGTAGAAAAGATTGGAGCTCGCCCAATTACATTTAGATTGGAGCGATGAACAATGGAGTCGCATATTATGGACTGATGAAACTTGGGTATCGGGTGATTGTCATATGAAACCTCGTGTCACAAGAAAAGTACGTTTAAATTCTATCTAAATCTTCCTTGTACTAACAGTAGAGTTTAGCCTGATGATGAGTTTGATGAGACTTGTATTGTGGCTCGCCATACTCATGGGAACAGTTGGATGTTTTGGGGATCATTTTACGGATCACTAAAAGGCCCATTCCTAGTCTGGGAGAAGGATTGGGGATCAATGAGGTCCTCATCCTTTTGTGAAAGGATTTTGCCACTTTTGAATCAATTTCACTCGGATAATCCAGAAATTCTATACATGCACGACAACGCACCATGTCATAAAGCGTACTCAACAATTGAGGCGCTGCATGAAGTTGGAATAACGCCCATTAGATGGCCACCTTACTCTCCGAACCTGAACCCGATCGAGTCATTGTGGAATATCTTAAAAAACCACATTCAGGTAAATAGCCCTGAGATAAATGTGGTCAGGCTTGTGCGCTCTGCTACGATGAAGACATTGCTACAGGATGCATGGGACTCTATACCTTCAGAGGAGCTATTGTCACTAGTTGGCAGCATGCACGAAAGATGTGTAGCAGTGATAAAGGCAAATGGAGGGTACACAAAGTATTAGGATGGAGAAGACACACAAAACATGTAGCACGCTTTCATATTAGTTGCGAGCCATACTAAGGGCTTCGATGTAGACTTTTGTAATACAGAGCAATAATTTTTGAAATAGATGTGCATTTTTAGAGAATATCAACTGACTTTTTTCAAATTTGAATTTCAAATGAGGACTATTGTACTTTTCCCATTGAGTTGAAAACCATCCCCATAATTTATACTTTCACGGAATGTCATTGGATAGTACCCCTTGCTTGCATAACTAGTCGAGTAACTAGACATGGGCCTGCATGAAGATCATACCAATTAAGGCAATGTGTACAGGGATCTAACCCCAGTTATTTTGACAATTTTACCTTTGGCATCCTTGAGAGACTGTGGACTACTAAATGAGGCTAGCCTACGATTAGTAAGCTACGTATAAACTGGAGATTTCGGAGTAAGGAGACGAGTGGTCCTGTAGGAAAATTTATTAAAACTCAAGCTCAACTATTGCATTCTACGGAACTAGCTATAGTAGAGCCGCGAGTTACATTTTTCACCATCCTGTTTCAATTGTGATCGATCGAAACCCACAACGACGACAACAGGAATGTATCGAGAGATGGAGACGATATAGACCGCGCAAATGATAATAAATCCTGTTAGTGATGAAGACGAATTTAGAGCGTAGGAGACTCTAAAAACGTTAGTGAGGTTGGGTGGTGCGGTGATACATGGTCTTGGCCGGTCTCACAAGTAGATTCTGGACAGCTCGGACACAAGCCCAACCTATACTGAGATTGATGTTTCAATTCCGATAAAACACTACTATATTTCTCTCGGCGTTGGTACACATGGATGATGAAGGCATGCTTGGATAACTAAAGGCTTTCAATTTCGCTTTGGTGTGTACTCACGGAAGATGGTCGACTGTTTGTGTAAGCGAAAATACCTCGTAATGGTATTTGCAAATGAAATCCAGAGCATGATTGGCTCTAACGTCAAAAGAGTTATTCATCATGTATAAATAGCTCCAGTGATATGTTTCAGCCAAATAGCTGAATACAAATTAAATGATAAAAAAAATGCCTTATTGTTACTAATTCAGGGCTCTACAGACTACAGTCAGAGCTCGAGACTCGTAAGGGACACCGCTAATAGATGTTGAGCATCTTTCCCTCAGGAGGCTGCCAATTACCCGGCACGATATCCTACAAACAAACAACTGTCCGCCGCCAAAAAAGTTCCTTGGGGGTGGATTTTTATGAAATCCTCACACAAAGATTTATCACTGAATCGGTTCATTTCTACAAATTTTCGCGATGTTGCTATGGTGCTCGACAAAGGTTGCCTCCTGTTCTCATTCCCCTTTCAAAGTTTAATTTTTCAAGGTGTTGAATTGATCCTCACTGGATATGACAATCTCATCCAAGCTAAAACATATATCAAAAATTCCGTTAGTGTACCTTTGAAAATAGGCCTTAGCAAACAGGCAAAGAAATTTCAGACGTACTTTTTAGAAGCAGAGCGCGCCCTTAGTAGGCTCTAAAGCCATCTGGGAGAAAGTGCAGATAAAAAAGAATATACACGCTAACGTTTGAATTAATGCTGACTCTGTAAATTCTCATAAATGAGCTAGGAATTCATTAGCGATTACAGCCATGTATTATGTCACACCTCTCACCAAGGTGTAAACTCCAATATTATGTTGGATTTTGATTCAGATATTCAGTGAACTGAGAGATTCAATCTCCTGATAAAGTCATGTTAAAGAATCCAGAGCTGCCAATTCTTCCTCCAGCTATGAATATCTAGAAAGTTGCAGCTTTCCGAGGGAATGAAGGTGTGGAACAAGAAGAGCCTGTATTAAAGTAATGTGAATCTGTTATTTTGGTATTTGGAAGTTGCTCATGGAAGAGGTTGTTTGAACTTAAAATTCTTGTGACCTGTAGGTTTCACTGAAGATAGATTAAAATAATAATTTGGAAGGATGACAAGAAGTAATCTCATGATTATCGATGACTACTTGCCCCGCTAATTAATTTTCACAACACAGCTGAAAGTGTGAGTTTAATCGGTGTATCAATTGAACGTGAAAATCTCGAGCAAAGAAATACGCAAGCTAGATGACCTTTTATGAAATACAGATCAAAGATGCCCGATGACGATAATTCAATTCCAAATTTTTTGATTAAAACCACTTTTATAACCTCTCGCTGTTGCTGTTCTTAAAATAAGGCTACTCAAGGCGACTTCATTGTTCTTGCTTAAGTGATGTGTCACTTTCATGAGAGAACAAGGAACAACTTTGCTGTCATTTCGCACTCATATTTTTCATCATTATTTGTTCTATCGGCGTACAATTACATGTCGAGTGGATTTAGTTTATTCTTAGTTTGAGATCTTCACGTTAAATCGTGCACTAAGCAGCCTTTTTCTCGCCTTTTTCTTCCGCGCTGGTATTCTTTAGAAAGTTCCTTGTGGTAATTAGTACAGCCCCGAGTGTTACGGGGTTTCTTATTTTGATTGACATACTTTATAAAGGCTTCCTCATCTGAACTGCTTGCGTTGATAGGTGGACTCTGGGTAACTTTTGGCTTGGATCCTCTGGTGCTTAAATAAGTCACACCAAATATTGTGCTGAGGGTACACATTGCTAGCTAGAAAGAATTAATAAATTAATATTCACGGACTCGCATTTTCTTATTCTGTGGTTTAGTTTTGAATAGTAACATTCGAGTGATTTAATCCGTCGGAGATTCCAGAAAAGACTTACAACATGCGATCCAATTTGCCTGCCAGCAATCGTGTACATCTGAACCATCTTTACAGAGAAGGGCTGAGGGATATGTAGATGATGAAATATATAAAGGATTTGTGCTTTACCGTGTTCAACGGTTTTGGCAATGGAATCTTAACGTCTGGATAAGCGATAAGCGCGCTCTCCGCGGTAAGGAGTACTAATTCGGCGCAGCTACCTCAGGTATTTCATCCCACTGGTGTGAAATAAAGATAAGCTTAAGTATCTTATCAATCTAATGATTATGCCCTTCATCTATGCAGTAAAGAACGAAAGCTGAGCACCTGCCACTGGCTTCAGCTATAAAACTATAATTGAAATATTTCCGAAGTCGGATTCAGTCATACTGTGCCATACAGAAGTAGGACTATGAAAAGTTAACTTAGACCTCCGAAAAACTGAACCTTTCACTCGCAAGAAGATTTTAATTGCAACTACAGCTTCATTAAGTTTACAAATACGATCTAGTTTGTTCTGATCTCTGTGATCACATTTCACATCGATTCAGTCTCTATCTTCAACAGGCCTCCAAACAAATGCTCACGATAAAAAAGATATCGGCAACTGGAATTAAGTTACAGGGCACAAATTTAAATGGGAGACCCTCGGTATGGATGTGAAAGAAACCAGGACAGGTAGAGATGATTATGCTAAGAATGGGTATTAACCTGAAAGGGGTGAGTTCTCGGTTTGTGGGAATTAGTTTTCACATCAAAGGGCATCATGCACGCCATGACTTCACAAGGGATAGTACAGGCGATGCTATGAACACAGCTTTGGATTGATGTCGCAGTGGTACAAAGTCCAGGCCTGTCTCCTAATTAGATTCTGAGAAGCTTGGATACTTTTCTTCATTGAAGCATGAGATCGCTGGTTAGAATACAATAAGATCAAACCATACTTCTCGCGATGCTGGTGTGCATGTATGACGAAGGTTTTGAACTTCCCTTTTAGTTAGTGCTCGGGATGAGGGCCGACTGTTCTGCGTGAGCAAATAAAAATCACAATGGTATCTCTGAGTTAATTCCGGGGTATGAACGTTCTTTTTTTTAAATTGAATGATTCATTTATTCTATACTTTATGTCCTATATTACGTCATAGCTAGATACCTGTAAGTAATCGAAACATGAATCGAAAAAACACTTCAATGGATGAGTTGTCGAGCGAAACCGACAGGAATTTGAGAACCATCACTCAAGTAAAAAGACTCAAAGCTCTAGTTGCAACTATGATCCTACAACTACCAAATTTGAATATCAATCCGAATTCTACACCTCGCCACAATATATCTGCTATCCACTTGCATTTGATATCAGCTGGCAGTACTCTGTTCTCTATTAACCTCTACATGTTTGAACAAAAACTATTAAATCAAAAACAATCGTTACATTCGAATGACTGTAAACGAGAGACAAAAGAAATCCTTGAGGAAATCCCCGCTGTCTGCCCGAACCTCATGGAAGTTTTCTAAATCCGTCTCCAACACACTTCTTCCTCGCCGCCCACATGACTACAATGTAGTGTTAGAATATTACGCCTAATTTACATCCGGTCCACTGTACCCTATGTTCGAAGACCAGTTAAAAGACGTATACAGATCTCTATTAGACAATCTGTAAAAGAGATTCATTTTACCTAACCAAGTACCATTTTTGATTCTAGATCACTTTGTCAAGAAATCCTATGACATTCTCTGATTTTGTTTTAACTTTCAAAAAATATATGCCTTAACCCGAAAGTTTCTATATCCCCTATCTTTAGATAACGAAACACTTACATGATTAGTTAAAGTAATAGTTTGTAGCAAGCTGGATGTCAGATAAACTTTTCACAGAATGCGCGTGTACCTAGATTCGGAAGAGTTGACAATTATCTATACCAGTCACGGCTGGTCTGGATACAGAGTTATCCTGTTTGAGTTGACTGATGCTTCTGTAGCATTCCAAAATTGCACAGTGACATTCTTCTTAATTATATAGATGTTTTATGTACTGCACATCTTCATGAAATCTTGATTTAATCTGATAGTAAAATTATTCATACAGAGGATGTAAAACAGGTCTCAATGTAGTTCCGCAAGTCAGAATCGTAGACAGATGTAAAAAGTACGAGTTTAATGTAACTGAGACACGATATCTGGGCTTACTATATCCACTGAATTATTAATGGTAGACCTCGAATAAATTTACCTCATGACAGGTTAATTGGATTTAAAACTAGCGAAATGAGTCCCATCCTTTGTAGAATTTTGTAACTTTTATCGTTGGTTTGTCACAAACCTCGGTAGTACTGCCAAACCGCTGGTTAATGTAGCTAAAGAAGGCATCTCGTTCAACTTTTATTTGCCGTGTCATGATGCCCTCAAAGACATGAAGGATCACACAATTTATCACCACTGCTATCTCATTCTGACTCAGGGGGGTCCATTCTAACTGGTATCTGCTGCATCCGATGGAGTAATTGCTGGCGTACTTTACCAAGAAACCAAGATGACATCTGGCATTCACTTGCATTCACTTCTAAGTCTATGCAGGCAGCAGAAATAAAATAAGAAGTCCATGATAAGGAAGTATTAGCCATAATACGCAGCTTGGAAAGTTGGAGGGCTTAATTACAGGGCTTTTTACACAGAGTAAAAATTTTTACTGACCATCAAGAATTAGAATACTCAATAACATCAAGAAAACTTATTGCCTGACAAGCAAGATGGTCTCTACTTCTATCCCAATCTTTCTCTAAAAATCTTTGTCCTGGCCACCAGAATGCCTCCGCAGATATTTATCACGTCGAGAAGGTGACTTGAATACTCAAGATGGAATAGAGAAAGAGATTGGGTACAGGTTTCTGCTACAGGATTATAAATTGTGCGATAAAACTGTCGGTAATCTAAATATTTGTTATCTTGGGTTATTCGAAGTTATTGATGCCATCATTGTTGTAAATAAAACTTACGACAGCCAAAAATTGTCATTAGGAGCTGTGCGGAAATCATACTGTGGAGTGGATGATATTTTATCTTGTGGGTGACAGTCAATAGATTCATACAATACCATGTTGTAGGCTTATGAACAGAAATTGTAACAATAATCCTGTGTCATTTTGTTGTAGGTACATTCGTGAAACTGTATACATCTTCGCCTAACCAATACGCAAGTGATTTATGATTCGGCATTGGGCCACACGCGATGCCCCAGACCTGACTACATCGTCGTCTTATGTCACAACAAATAGACCCTGGCTAACAAATCATTACGAGTACCAATCTTCGATGGAAAATGGCATATTTTTCTCTACAAAACGACCGGTAGAGCCACAAGTAGGTAATATTGGCACAGAACTGACACGGGAGGTTCACAATAAATTGTTAGACACTCACATCGGGCGCAACTAAACTTACCAAGAGCTAAAGTGAAAGTTTTCCTAGAATGGTATGCGAAAAGATGTAAAACAGTACTGTCTTGATTGTTGTATTTCAAGAACCAACGATGCGCCTCGAGATGAAACCACTGTATTATCACACTTATTGTCTGTTTCTGACTAGCCTTTAACATATATTTTTGTCGGTTATACGGATATTTTACGAGATATGTATGGTTTTGATAAGATCGCAGTAATTATTAATTGATTATCAAACTTCTCTATTGCCCTACCTTGTAAATAGGATATTATGGCATACGATACTACGTACTTAAATTCTTTTTATGTATACCACTACTACAAGCTACCCGACTCTATTTCATCCGATCGAGGCACTCGGATTTTCTAAGTCTTCGGGAGATTTGTTATGAACCTCATAAAAGTAGAATCACGGCTGTCCATTGCCTAATTTCCGCTGACTAATGGAAAAAATAGAATTTGTTAAACTATAAGATTGTTGGTCAAACATAATCCTCTCTCTGCCTTAACATAATGGAGTTATGGTTGTGATTAATGGTTACCTAAGAGTAAAATGGGTGAGGCGTTTGGAGATCTTATATATCCTGTATTAGTAGCTTCATATTAGCGTGTAGGCGAGGCTGGTAGACACATATTAGTATGAGCACAGTCGCAGCTTTTTTCCTAGAATGCTGAGCGAGCAGAGTAACATACACGTTCTATTAACCCTACACTTTATCAATTCTACTTCCAGTACTACTGTATTACCCGTCTGGAGGAATCATATTATAAAAGAATTCATGAATCAGTAAATCACGCATCGACAGCGGCCCTTTATTCACTACTACCAAATAGTTTGTAAGATCCATCACTAGCTATGGATAATTCCAATTTGACACATTCTCATGAATAAACCGGAATGTATCCATTTAAACTTTCACATGGGTGCATACCTCGAAACTCTTGTATTTGCAAAATAGAAGTTATTCCTAAGAACAAACGAGAAAACTTGGAACTCGAGGATGCAGGGACCTTTAACTTAAAAGATACAAAAAACCTAGAAGGTTGGACAGGAAATTGTACACCAAAGACATGCTCAAAAACTGCTTAGGGCAACAAGACGACGCTGACCTGATTTTAACGCAGGCAAAAGAGTCTATATATCGAGAACCAAGTACGAACTTCGCACCCAAATTTAAAGGGCCTTTCAAAATCATGAATGAGAGATACTCCTTCAAGCCATTAACGCCGAAGCAACGGTCAATCTATGAAATTCTTCACGCTCATACTTTCAGAAAAGCTGACAACAACCCATCAGCAGGGGATTACATTAACAACAAAACCCTATTAGTGTCGCAGGTGATAATAAGTAGAAAGCGAATAAAATTCTTGGCGTAATCTTCATTAGATAGAGACTAAACTATTGTTCTCTTTAGCTCGGCTGGGGCAATTACCCACAATTCTATCCTGCTTCCAGCTTAGGAACGGCTCCACAAACAACTATGGCATATCACCTTCATCATCCGAATCAATCAAGCTCACGAAAACTTTTGTTGCAATAATCCGTGTAGAAAGACCTAATGACTTTATGATCATTCATGTATTATCTTGGAATTAGTGACTGATTATGTTTATGAGTAATGAGTTA